TTTATCATCTTATACCACATCTAAAACTTTCTTAATAAATGATTGCATTAGCTTGTTAGAATGTAAGTTGCAAACAAGTTCTTAACTGTAACATGTTTTTTTTTACATACGACAAGGTGTCTGTACAGTTCTAATTTTAATTTATTAGTTTGATAAGTGACTAGGCAATTGTAATTTTAAATCCTGGTAAGTTCCATCCATCCAGCCATTATCTTTTACCCGCTTCTTCCTTTTTGGGTAATCCTGGTAAATTAACGCAGGTAATTAATTCCACCCACTGAAAGCTAAAACCCTTTGAAAATCAAAGTTTTCGTATTTTACAGTTCTTGTAGTTATATAAAAAACTAGAATGATCAGACATATCTAGATACCTGTGTGGGAGTGCAATGATCTTTACACGCTACATTTGTAGTCATTGTAAATGTCATAAGAAAAGCATGTGGTTGATTTAATCTGTAGCATGAGAACCTGAACAAACTTCTCTTCCGCCTTAAGAACAAAGAAATCAAAAACAGAAGGTAAGGGCAGAACAGTGTTTTGGTTTTAAACATCATAAAATCATTGATTTAGCTTTTTGATCTGAGCAAACACAATGTTTCCTTTCAGACAATATTAATTATAGCAACGCATTGTTAAGTTGTTCTGTTCTGTACACAGTGTTCTGAAAAAAAAAAAAAACACTTTTCAAATCCAAACAATGAATAAACAAACAATGAATTCTTCTGCTGAATTGTCATTCAAGGCCACTGAGACAGATCTTAAGAATGTCAAACCCTGAGAAATACTTTCTTACAATACAGTACAGTTAATCTTCCTATTGACAACTCAAGCGATAAGAAAACCTGTGAACTCATGTCTGTTTTTAATACTTTCAGACTCTCAGCTTGTAAAAGTGTCCACTAACAACAAAGGTCATAAAGTTGACCTGGTCATGTCTAAAAATCTCAATATTTCCTGATGTCAGTTTTTGATTTTGCCATAGGAGATTATTGTTGTGGTTTTTGTTTTATATGACTGCCATAATTTATACTCATTCTAGGTTTTAGATATTCATATAAATAAATAAATAAATAAACAATATATCAATAAATTTAGTCATGTATTGTTTTCTTGGCCCATTTCTATGTTACCTTCTCAGTCTTTTTCCGTGTCAACTACTAAATAAATTTAATTCAAAAATTACAGTTTCTTTTGCTATTATTCTAGTTACGAGTTAAAACAATTTCTGAAAGTCAAATGGCAGCATGGGGGAGTGCACCGCAGGTCACACTACACCAAAAAAAAAGTGTTAAGTAGTTGAGTGTGATTGGCAAAAAACAAAACTCCAAATTCCGTATAAACTAAACTAAAAAGTTTCTAAAATAGTAAAAAAGAAAAATTTAAGCAAGCAGATTATTTCTATCTAATATAATTTCCGTAATTCACAGAGAAACTTATTTATTTAATCATTTCCCCAACACCTCAGTTAAATAAGGTACCTCAGCAATCAACCAGGACCAATTTGATAAACACATTTGAACTGCTCACATCTCAATTCTTCCACATCTTCCCTCAATCCTCTGCCAGGAGATTTTTTTCAATAAGGTTTTTGCCCTCAACTGAATTATTAGTCAACAGCTGTTTGGGTTTAGGTCTGATCACAGCACTGAGACGGCCCTTATAAATGTTCTGAATGACATCAATCTAAACTTAGATTCTGACAAACCCTCTGTCCTTGTGTTATTGGACCTAACTTCCTACAGTTTTAAATTGTTTTAAGTTCTATTGTCAAGAAGAAATTATATTGTATCAGTTGGCAACTGCACCTCAGAACACTTTCCAATATATTGTGGAGTACCTCAAGGGTCAGTTCTTGGACATTTTATTCTGTCTGTATAAATTTCCATTAATCAAAGTTTTTCACTCCTGTATGATCACTTATCGCATTTAAGTAGATGACACCCACATATACATAACCATGTCATAAAATAACAGTTGCACCATAAACACATTGGAACAATGCATCAAACAAATAAGTGCCGGTAAGTGGATGTTGGAAAACAAAATAAAAACAAAACAGAGGTTAGTATTTCTAGAGGAAATACAGAGAAACTCAAAATAATTGCTCATCTCATTAGTCTGCCCTTAAAGTACAAAAGTCAATTAAAAAAGAGTCACCTTGGATGCAGATTTAAATTACAATAGCCCAGTCTACATTTTTGTAGTGGGTATACTGTGCTTGGAAACCAAAGTACACCGGTTAGTACAATGTAATCGTCAAAAAAAATAATAATTCTAAGCATATTAAAAATTTCCAAATTTCTATGATGCTTATATTTGAATAAATGAACAACAAGCTTTTTGCAACAGTTGGTTTTGTATTAAAAACATGTTATAGAATTTATAAAACAGTATCAAAGCAAAGCGCTGTATACCGATAAATTGTTACGCAAGTGTTTAACCATTTGACGTATCAATGATGACACATGCCTAATGATATGTTGCGTGTCATTAGGCACTTTTAATTGGGTATACTGAAATTCTTACGCTTTTCTAGTGGATATACTCCATATGACTATCACATAGACTACACCACTGCAATAGCCACAACAAACTAATATGAAAATCATCTTTCTGCCACCTTTAAAACATTGTAAGAATCTGAGAAATTATTTCAAACCCCGATTTTGGAACCCTTTGTTTATGCTTTTACTTCCAGTCAACTAGATTACTGTAAAGGCGCATTCCAAGGTCTGCCAAAAATACACTTCATCTCCAGCTGATTCAGAATGCAGCTGCTAGTCGTAACAAAGTCCCAAAAAAATCTCAGCATATAACCCAGGTTCTGCACTCACTTCATTGGCTACCAGTTTCCTACAGAAAACATTACAAATCAATTCCTTTTTGTTCATAAATCACTGACTGGCTTAATGCCACAGTACTTAATGAACCATCACACTATGAACAGCACAGACCTCTCAGATCTACTAGCATCAAACTATTAGCTGTTCTACAAAATAAAACCAAACATGGTGAAACTACCTTTCATTTTTTTATGCCCCTCACCTTGTGAACCAAACTGCCTTAAGAGCTCAGACTTGTGCCTGATTTGACAATATTTAAAAATAAAGACTTCCTATTGTTTATAATTAATTGACTTTAAACTGTTAAGTATTGGTTTTGATAAAGATCTTTTGAATAAGTGAAATATTTTTATCGTTGGGCGTGTGTGGAGCCTTTTGCTTCCTGTTAATTGGATCTATATTTGGTAAATCACCTCTAGTATTAAATGTGCTATATACTGTAGATAAATTTGACTTTTACCATTACAAGTGTGTAGACACTAAGCACGGCAGCGTGACATAAGCGGATGCAAATTTCAACATGAAGATAATAAAAAAAGTCCCACAACTCTCAGGACAGCTGGTTATCTTGTTTATTTCCATTACTTTTGATTGCTTCACTGTCATCTCTTGTAATTAGCCTCACACCACCAATAAACATAGCTGTGGTGAGCTTTCTGACATTCTGAATTGACTGGCTGTTAGAGTTTAATTCCAATGAATTGCATGGATCACAACTTCAGAGAAATTGCATCCCAGTGGATAAGTCATCAGCATTCAATTCCTCCACAAAATGCCAGTGGAAGTGCATCACTAGTGGTAAAGTAGGAACAAACATTTAATATTGAAAGCTCTGATGAGCTAATGCTCTTTCTTTCAGAACATAGTCAATCAAATAGGTGTGGTTAATGTATTTTTTTATTAAAACAAATATTTATAGGTTCACGTGTTCAACACATTTAACAACAATTCACAAATGGACAAACAAAAAATGGGGCTGTACTTCAGGTGCAATGAATGCAGATTTAGAAGGATCTCAGAGGGTGAGTGCACGTTTAATGTATTTATTTTAACAGATGTGGTGCAGACTAGGGGTGCACCAATAAATCAGACGACCGATTTATCGGCCCCGATTTCCTTAATTTTGGGAAATCGGCCGATACTTGCATGAGAAACTGATTTTTTTTTTGTTTTAACAATTGTCTTAACTTCATTTATATTTCAGAGCACTACTTCATGGCCAGTTAAAACAAGTTTTTATTGTTTCTAGGATATTGTTCAAGGGTATGTTTTTTAACAAAATAATATTGGAAAATTGAAGGTGCATTGTGACCTTATAACACCTGACAGTGTCGCTTATAAAACAAAATCGGTATTGGCCAATATCGGAATCAGCAGGTCAGACTTTTTAGAAATCGTTGATCGGCCAGAAAACTGCAATCGGTGCACCCCTAATGCAGACATATTTTTTTAGTAAATTTTTTCAATCTTTATTTTTAGGAACAGTGCCATCTACTGTTATGCAGATAAAGGGGAGTGATCAACATATATGTAACCTTTGTTACAACTCCACACTGCAGTATGAAAAATTACCAATTTATTTTATGGATGCTTTTTTGTGTGCAAAAAGGGCCAAGCTAGGGTTCGTACTCTTATTTTTGAATTTCCAGACTTTTCCAGATTCAAATACTTAGATTTTGAATTTATTTTTTTTACTTCAAATCACCTGCAGATATACCATACTAATTGTGCAACAATGCGATTCCCTGTATGTTTATGTTAAACTATTAGCTGTAAGAGAGGATCTTTCCTCTCATCTGAAAATATATGTTTAATTGGCTTTACAACACATCTTGTGAGAATAAATAGCTGCTGCCAAGATTATTATTTTTTTCTTAAAATGCTGCTCCGTTTTGTATCAATTTCTGAGAAACTGTCCCATGTCAAGTTTTTTCCAAGCCAGTGTTTTGACAACAAAATGACAAATTCCTCTCACCCCAATATGCAAAATAGATGAATGTTTTTAACTTTTAAATTTTTCATACATGAGTCTGTATATACCCATTAGTTAAAATGTCTTGGTTGACATTAGATAGTGTCCCACAATGAGAAAATGAGCTGTTGTCCATGAAAGTTTGCAGCCCTTGTGTTATATGAACCAAAAATTGACACAGTGTTGACAATAATGTTTTCATGTTTGAAAAATGACCCGTTTGTTTACAAGATCTTTTATATATATAATATTCAGGGCTGATGTAATAAAACTCTATCATCAGAACTGTACCCAAGAGTCTTGAAATGATAATTGCAGCAGCTGCTTTAGCGAGTCAAACTCCAGTCCTCTTTCAGCATGGCAAATTTCTGCAGAACGTTGGAGGGTACAATAATAACAAGGCTCATTGGAGGTACAAAAAAATAGTTCTCATCTGTAAGTGCTAGAATGTCATCATTTCATGCCATTTCAAAATTTCTCTTTAAATCCTGTTTGTCCAAAAGATTTGATGATACGTAGTGCCGCTCGTCTCGACCCGTCAGTGCTTTGAAGTGAGCGTTAGTGTCGAGGAGACGCGAAAGATTTGAGGCAGCATGTTGCTCAGCTGGTAGAACATTTCCTCCGAGATGCTCTACAAAGAGACAGAGAGACAGCCAGGATTAGTACCAAAAAAAAGGAAAAGATTTGTGCAGCCTGAATGTATTTTTACACCGCTCAATGTGGCACAAAATGGGAGCAAGTTAAAGGCTTCTTTACACGTGAAAACCACACAGCTGGACAGTTTGTGCTACACAAAACATTTCACAATGCGTCTTGTGTCCTTTAGCTCAAAGGTCGCTTTTCCTCAGGGCGCAGAAGTCAAAATACATAAACGATGTGAGCTCCAAGCAGCTGGGACTTTAAGAGGGTACATACCATGTCACTCTAAGCATTGATGCTCGTCAAATACGAATGTGAAGTTATCTTAAAGCAAAATAAAAATAAAAAACAGCCGCGCGCAGACAGACAGCCTATATTTAGATTTAGTATATCTTTTGAGCTGTAGACAACAATGCCAATTCAGTAGTTGCCATTCTGAATTACGTCTGAGCATGTAGCTGACAGGAAGCCGATGCAGTCGGGGTTCTTTGATGCTGCTCGTCTCGTCTCATCCTGTCAACATGAGCTCATACTATAGGCCCTCCTGCCTACCTGAGAAATCACAGGAGCTGTAGGTATACACAGCATCCAGCTAAGCCTAGACTAAAATAACAGTCGTGAGTCACCCAGCACATGCATTTTCATCTTTTACTTTTTTAATTCAGCACAAGTTATTTTTCTTTTTGAATGTACCAACTTCTTTGCATTACGAAAGACGTAGCAATTAGTTTTTGACATCCGAGAAAGTGAATGCGGTTTCTCCTCAGTGTCGGCAAGTTGCACTTTAATCCCTCGGCTTATCACACATTCATGTGTGCTCTCTTTTATCATAACAGAGCAAGCACCTTAGAACCTAAAGCTCTATAATCTATAGAGTTAAAGTGAGCTTTCCAAACATTCAGCTCGCACCCCTCCTGCGTTCAGAGTTATGTACCGCCATGCCAGGTGTGCCTTTTGTGATGCGAGCCTTCAGGTTCTTTTGAATTCACATAAAGCATTAGTGGAAGGCAATCAATCAAAGAACAATTCTGCATCTTTAGCCATAAGTTGTTTGTACATGTGAAGGAATTTCTGCTTTCACTGCTCTGTAAAGTGGGTCACAGGTTAGTTTTGTAAAGAAGGTCACTCTGACCTCATTTATGGCTGGCAACTGTTAAAGTTCTCAAAATGTTATTTCTTTGATCGGATGGCTGACCTAAAAATAACTACTGGCTCCTTGTTGAACACATCCAGGCTTGTGGAGACCTGCAGAGCCTGAGAAACCTCATGTCTGAAGCATGATTTTATTGTGGCATATGATTATGGCTGTTTTGTTTGTCAGTTATTTGCATGTATCTGGACAGCTCACGGTCATTTTGATCACAGTACACCCTTTACTCACCTTTGGCACCAGGAACTGGACTGTGCGTGAAATCCCCCCATCCCATGAGGCCATTTCCATCATAAAACCTATAAATTAAAAACAATTATTTGTAGCTATTAGATACAGTATTACATTTTTCGATTGTTAAATACATTTCTAAAAAAGAAAAGTGTATAATTATGTTGTTTTATGCACCTATTTTCTCTCAAACTGCCATTTAGGTTTAAACCTACACCTAGATAAGCAGCAGTTATAGGCCATATGGGACAAAATTCTGTATAAGTTATTCAATTATTGTAAAAAACAGTATCAATAAACTGCTAAATGTTAACTGTATATGCTCTAAAGCAACCTCAGTTTGACAGTGTGTGCTGTAAACATCCATATATAAATCAGTGTCTCACTTTACCTTTAACACATTTAAAAACCAGCTCAGCTCTCTTAAGACACCAGGGTATAGTCATCTCCTGCAATGTGGGGAAAAAAAAGGGAAGTAAATGCCTGAGTTGTGTGTTTTCAAACTAAAATGACTCTTTTTATACATTTACTAGCAAAAGCTGAGTCACTCCTTCTGAGACAAACTTTCTTGTAATGTTTAAAGAGATCTTGATCAATAATTTTGGGTTTCTGAAGGTCTTTCAAAGTGGTTTGGGAGACTCAGGATGATTTTTTATACACAGTTCCAGATCAGTACAAGAAGTACAGTTTCAGAGGAATGTACTGTATTTTAGATATATCTTGCCATTTTTTTTTTCTTCAAATATTTATCCAAGTTAGATAACTATATAAAACCTACATATTTTTAAAAAGGTGCTTTTTAATTAGTTTGTGAGGATGAACCATTTAACTTTTTTAGTTATAATTAAACAAAGTAACAATTTTGTGATTTAAAACTGTGCTGTTGACCTGTGCTCCAATTGTTTATAAATTAAGAATACAACCATAAGTCAAGTAAATTTATTTTTGCAGCACATGACAATCATATATTCAATGTGCTTGGAAAAGAAAGAGCACATATGTAAGATCACACAAAATTATAAAACTGCCACCTAAAAAAGGAAACAATAATGACAGTGAAGTGCGTTCACTAAGTAAACATTCTAAGCTTAGAAATCTTGGAAGAAAATATACAGTGTTTTCAATTTGCTTTAAGACCCTGTTGTGGCAGTTCTGAGACCTTGTAGTGATTCCAGAGAACTTGACCATAATGACTGAAAGCACAATAAGCTGAATCTGAATTTACTCTTGTTATGACAAGGACATAGATATGTAAAACTGAGTATCATCTAAGCAGGAGTTGTGTTGTCTAATGAAACAAGTAGGAACAGACGAGGACCGAAGATCGAACCTTGTGGAACTCCATTAGCATTGCTGACTGTCTGATTCATGGTTACCTACAAAAACTGAAAAAGTTCAACCAGTGAGGTAAGAGGACAACAAGCTAAGAACAGTAAGGGTTAAGAAAACAAATGACTGTGGAACTGATGTTTGTGAAAAAAATTATCTATAAGCAGCTAAATTACAGCATACAAGTTCAAATTTGTACATTTGTTTGCTAATATTATTTTTATGAAGAAAATACTGTTAACAACCAAGTTCTCCAAAACACTTTACAATTATTTCTCATTCACTCAAAAATAATAATTAAATAAATAAATAATCACAAACTTTACAGACAACACTTTTATATTTGCACTCATACAGCTATAAGAATATCAGGGCCAGTAATAAAACCACCTCCAGTTGGAAGATGACCCCCCCCACACACACACACACACACCGAGCCAAGAACTAAGCTACACTGTCTACTTTATATTCTAATTATACTGTATATAATTTTTAACTGGGTCAAACCAATATTTTTGTTAAGATAATCATACCTAAACAGAATTACAATGTATAATAAATCAAAAAACACATTTTACAAAAATTATGTTAATGCCTTTTAAACACTTCCTGTGTGCATTAGCTCATCTCTTCTTTAAGTTTTGAGTGCTTAGTTGAATACAGTGATCCCAGAGGGGAGACATTTCTGCAATGACACATGCAAAACAACACATTTATATTACTTCACTCCCGGGAATATTTGTTATTTAGTCATTCACTTCTGAAGAACTGGAGGCAGAAGTGTGAACAAGGTTTGTGTGTACGATGACTGCACTAGTTACTGAACTGCCCTCGAGACAGACGGCACCAGCTTGAGCAATGGCTCTTTGATGCCTGACTAATCGGATTTGATATTCTGGAGTTTGTGATAATGTCTGAAGCAGGTAGATGAGAGGAGCTGAGCTGGCTGCTGATCTAAAAGCAGCTGTGCTGTTTCACCAACAACAAAAAAAAAGACGATTATTTCAACCAGAAACACAAGCAGCTGTGAAACTGTGTAAGACGGGGTTTTTTGTCTGTAAAGTCGTTTTCTAAAAATAGCACTACATTTTATTCCCTGCAGCATTTTAACGCAAATTTTATAAAAATCATTAAGCACATTTTCTGGTTTATTTAAACATAATAACCAGAGAAACAGCCCATTATATTTAAACTGTGGTCTAGTTTCTCCAAACAAACCTTACAATTGTTCATAAAGTACAAACAAAGATCTTTCCTAAATTAGCTTAAATGCCTTTAAAAGGCCAAGACAGAAATGTTTTTATGTGAAAACTGAAACTTTAATTTAATCTACCTCTTAAATAAACTTTAGAAATTAAAATTGTTTAGTTGTATAAACATTCGCATTTGATCAGACACAAGCATAAAAAAAACCCAACTGCATGTGGGGCAGGAGTGCACTCCACACAGAGGCTTCAAACAACCAACACAGATTAAAATTATTTAAAGTGTTGATGCATAAACAAGTAAAGGCAAATAAAAAAGGAATATGACTCCAGAAGTATCACTTAAAATTAACACGCTAACAAAAAAACATGCACGATTGGCAGATATAAATGAAATGTTTAGGAATTTATAACCAAACATTTTTGACTTTTTTTCTATTTTCCTCTTCATTGAAGAGATTTATGGGTAAGGCATAGTAAAAGATAAAGAAAGATATAAATCAGAACAAAATTAATGCAAGATTAAATATTAAAAACAACAGAAACACTGGGTCACAAAAGGCATTTTCTTTAAAACACAATCATGCACAACTCTGTTTGGTGAATCCTAGTACCAATTTATTGACAGCCCCCATTTTAATTAAATCATATATAGCACAGATAAAAAACAAAACAAAAACAATTTACAAGCAACATAAAAACTCCAAAATGTATCAAACACTGGGGCCGAGGCAGGGCAGCCGACTCGGGACCCGAAAGTCCCAGGCTCGATCCCCAGTCATTGCACATCTCGTAGTGTCTCTGAGCAGCTCATCCCATCCCCAATCGCACCACCGGGCGCACCCAACAGCCACCCACCGCACCACCCAGGGGTGGATGGGCCAAATGTAGAGAGCCAATTTTGCCATTGTACGGGAACATACAATGATGATAACACATTATTATTATTATTATTATTATTATTATATGTCTTTATAACATATTATCTCAACTGTCTATTTTCAGAGTTGTCTGACAACAACATTTTTTCAAGAGTTGAAAGCCACCAAACTCAAATATTTGGATTTTTTCTTTGACAATGAGGTGTTGAGGGGGTGGGAATAGATGTTTTCCTTTAAATATAGTAGTTTTATTAGTTCTTTGTATTGTTGTTTGTTTTTTGCTGGAACGGTTAAAGACAAATTTAACTTTTCTTTTTTTCTCTCCAAAATTCTCCCTGGTAGAGATATGATACCTTTGAGTGCTTATATTTTAGGGTTGTACCAGTAAGTTGCTGTGCTGAATGTTCCAGTCCTGTAGACTCTATGTGCTTTATTTCCATTATGACAGATAGGTGGAAATACAGCTCTCGCTTGTCAAAGTTGTAAAATAGTTGCATCATAATTGCATAATAGCATCATGAAGGACCCCACTCACTCAGCACACACACACTTTTTGTCCCGCTCACCTCAGGCAGGAGGTTGCGGAGCATTAAGTGTAGAACCACTAGACTGAGGAACAGCTTCTACCCTGAAGCTGTTACTCATAAATCCCTAACCAGGATAATCACTGTAATGCCACTTTAATTGGTAATATGTCATTTCATCTATGCTGCTGATTTCTTACCATAAGCTGCTATATTCATACCTATCTGTTCACAACAGACTCATGTTCAGGCTGCTGTTTAATACACCATATTACATTACATTATTATTGTTTAATGTATATCTTAAAGCTTTGTATACTGTTTCTTTTTATACTTTGTATTATGTTTTTGCCATTTTTGGGGGTGTAACTGGGACCTTGAGTACACAATTTCGTTCCACCTCATGTACCACGTGATGCAAATGATGATAAAGTACCTTGAACCTAGTTGGTCATTATATTTTCATAAACACAACCACTAAACTCTGTAATAGATGCCTGGATCATCTGACATGCCAGTGGACTCATTTTCCTGAATCTTTTCAGGACTGTAAATCGCAGTGTGCATGCAGAGAAGCCAAAACAAAAGGAAACTTTTCAGTTCTCTGGGAATAAAGGTGTTGGTTACTTTGTGAATATTACGGTTTGAGGATTTCTGTATTTATTTTCCTCCAAGATTAAAAGCTTGAGAAAGAGGTGATGTGTCAAACCTCCAATGAAGCTTGAAAAGGCACATCATTCCATTACTCTTACAGCCAGTTTAGAATCACAAATTAACTTAACATGCATGTTTTAAGACTTTTGGCAAAAAAAACAACAACAAAAACTACGCATGCATGAGGAAAACACGTAAACCCAACACAGGCAGGCCCCAGCAGAGATTTAAACCTGCAACATAAACCTCGACACACAGGGCAGTCGTAACCCAAACAGTTTTTATTTGTGTTTTATCAGTAATGAACTGATGTCAGAGGGGTAACGTGCCTTTTTGTTTTGTAAAATCTATTTATGACTTGTCTTTTCCAGTAACATCTCATTTCACAATGCCTCAAACACACCTAACGCACCATTACTTTGCACTTATAACACTTGTTCTACTAGTAATACAACTTTTAAAAAGATGTAGCAATGTGATTAAGTTAAGTTTGTCACTGGGGCTTGAATGATGCTCGGTACAGACAAAATTCCTGCTGAACTGATAAACCTAAACGTACTAAAATCCATCTAAAGTGCATGTACAGATGTGAGGCCTTCATGGTGCTGTGTTATTCTTACCTCTGACATGTCATGAACCAGCAGCAGAGGGATGGTTACTGTGGTGATATCGTGCGTACAGCAGACCTTCAGGATGTTCCTTAAACCCATGATAGCAGGGTCGCGGGCCGTGATGTTCCCCGAACGAAGATTGTCGTCCACACAAAGATGGAAGACGACATGAACCTCCGACAAGTTGGAGTGCCGTGAGATGTAGAACTCACCTTGTGCAGGAAACACATTCAATAAAACAGAGTAATTGAAACATCAGACAGCTGTTTTCTTCCATTGTTGAGTTTACATTAAATACAAAATCATTACCTGGCAAAATATTTGAAGGATTTCTTTCAACAGTTTTGCTTTTATCATCACCGCCATTCTTTTGAATCTCTGTAAACACAGAAGTATAAACTCAAAACCAAAATACATTCAAATAACGCACGTCTATTGTTAGGAATATTCCAATGGAAGCTGAAGTATTTTAAAAATGAATTTCAAAGAAGCAAGATTGCATCTGTGCACTAAAATATCCCACTAAACCACTGAGCTTATGATGTGCTGAGAATCTGGACAAAGTTTTCCATCAGTGCAGGAGAACTAATCTAGAGAGCGTTCCGTTTCTTGACTGTTTAATCCCCCTCTCAGAGCAGTGACATGTCGCTGAAATCCTCCAGCTCGCTGAGGAGCCGTGGGGCAGAAATTCTCAGAGCTGCCACCGTTACATGTTAATAAAGTATTAAAGCGGGTTTTAATCTCATGTTTTTGAATTCAAGATCAAATGAAACTTTAACGTCTTGTGTTTGTTAACATAAAACTCAGTAAGTTGAAGTGAAGCCTGAAGCGGAGTAAATTTAGTACAATAAAGACAAAAAAATAGAACAACTCAAAAAGAGAATGAATAATAATTTGTTGTTTTTGTATTTTTCTATACATTATTATCAGTCTGTTTACATCTGCATACATTCTGCTGTTTTAACCATTCAGATATTAAAATGTTCAGCTTATTCAGGAGAAGGGCAGTCGGACTTTTGGTTTTTGTAACTTTTAGACATTTCAGAATATTTATTTTCATTTACAAATATTTTTCACATAGAAAAACATTGAGATATGTTCGTTCCTTCAAAAACATTGTTCTCTTTAAAATCTGCATCAGTGATCTAATTTTGTCTTCTTATGCTTTTTTTTTAGCCAGTGTTCTGCTACTTAAGCTAGCCTTTCTACAACTTTTATCTTTCTGTTATTTTTAGCTAGTCTTTTGATCATTTTAACTTTTAGCTAAAACTTTGTTACTTTTAGCCTTCCAATAATCTTTTGCAACTTTTACATTTTTGTAACTTTTTGCTTTTAGTTAGCCTAATGTTACTTTTAGATTTTAGGTAGCCTTTGGCCACCTTTTTGTTTTTGTTACATTTTTGGCTTTTAGTTAGCCTTATGTAACTGAACTTTTAGATAGCCTTTTGCTCTATTCCCTTGTAATTAGGCCCGAGCAGCAAAGCGCTGCGAAGGCCTATTGTAATTGTGCTGTTTATTAGGCCCGAGCAGCAAAGCGCTGCGAAGGCCTATTGTAATTGTGTCGTTTATTATTATTATTAGGCCCGAGCAGCAAAGCGCTGCGAAGGCCTATTGTAATTGTGTCGTTTCTTATTATTCTTCTTCTTATTCTTTTCCAAGTTTAAGCGCTTATTTGGAGGGGTTAGCATATTTGAAACCTAGCCAAACTTTACCCAAAATTGTCCCCCGCGAGAAATAGTAGTATGATAATGGAACCAAAAGTGGGCGTGGCCAAACTGCTCCACAGCGCCCCCCTAACGTGAGATATGAAAACTGGTAAGTCCTAGAGAGCTGAAATTTGGTACATAGGTAGAACCCACCGAATCAAGAAAAAAAGTCTCTTGGAGGTATGCCTTAAACCCAACAGGAAGTCGG